TATTTAAAACAGAATCATCTTTATTTTATCTAAGATAAATTTACATATTTTTATCTCGTCTTTATCTAGCTAATTTTTAAATCATCTAAGCACAACACTGTTCTCGAATGATATACATTTTTGTATGAGCGTTTCGATATACCAATCGCTAAATAAACGTATATACGCCATCATTTCTTCCCCTTTCTGCGATTTAGGATAATTCAATGACTTGTTAAAACACAGCAACTATATCATTGTCACTAGATATATGCTTATCACACAACTCGATAGTATGTATATTTAAAAAATTCCTTATTTCATTACCTTACTTAAATATATAAGATGCTTAATCGTACGTGCTTAATTTAATATTCGTTTACCTTAATCCGTACATTTTGACTCGTGTTGCTCTCTCAGCAGAGATTAAAGAAATATTTCTACATCCTTTCGACCATTCCATGCATATATATTTTTTCATATATGTCTATATATTATATATATCTATTTATTTAAAATATATACATATACAATAAATATATATTAATAATATATATATATATATATATGCATATATATATAGGGTGTATCTAAATAAGTGAAAAATTTTAGATGATTCTTTGTCGAAAATTAAGGGAGGTAAAAATTAAGTTTTTATTTTTTCTCAAATTTCAGATAAATTAAAAAATGTGATGAATATTATTAATATTTTTTTGATTTACCTTCCTGTATTCGTTATAAGAAGATGAAACTAACAATTCCCATTTAATTTTTGATTTTTAGAGTACACGTTTATATAAGAAATTCCTCTTAAATTTTCAACAAAGAATCATTTCCAAAAATCACGCACTTATTTAGATGCACCTTATATATATTTTTAATAAATATATATATATATGTATATATATTTTAATAGTATTATATATATATATATATTATTTATTTTTTTAATAGTATTATATATTTTAAATAGTATATTTTTAATAAAGATATATTGAAAAAATATATATACACATATATATTTTTTAAATATATCTTTATTAAAAATATATACTATTTAAAATATATACATACTATATATAATACTATTAAAAATATAATATATATATATATATATATATACTATTAAAATATATATATATATATATATATATATATTTATTAAAAATATATATAGGGTGCATCTAAATAAGTGCGAACAATTTTTGGAAATAATTCTTTGTTGAAAATTTAAGAGGAATTTCTTATATAAACGTGTACTCTAAAAAAAAATATATATAATATATTTTTAATAGTATTATATATAGTATGTATATATTTTAAATAGTACATATATTTTAATAAAGATATATTGAAAAAATATATATCCATACACGCACACCCTGTCCTCTCATATCTACGTTTAATCAACCGGCAGTGCGCCCAATTTACACACTGCTGCCATCCTTGATTAGACACTATTCAGAGAGAAGAAACGCGCGAATGCCGTCCTCGTCCGCGAAATAGAAGCAATAGGGTATCGATACATCACCGGCGTATTTCAGAGCTTTCGCCCTTCACATTCGTTAGAGGAGAATCGCGGAGGAGAATCGATTCTTCGATCAATCGATCACCACGGCTTCTCCTTCCCTGTTCCGGGTTAAAGGGTATGTTAAACCTTCCGCTAGAGAGAGAGAGAGAGAGAGAGTAAATTCGCGCGGCGCCTTCTATTAGGATTCTCCATTCACCTTCCTTCCGGCACTTCATTCCTTAAGTGACCTCTACAAATTGAATTACGGTGTACAACGTCGCTCTATACCCTACGGTATCCATCATCGGCCCCGGAAAACCGCCGCTAAAACGAGCTGGATATCGCGCGATGGCGGACATAACGTCGTATATAAAGTTGCTCCAGTTTCGGGATTCGGAGAATTAATGTGGAACCATATAACTTCTTTCTAATCGCGCATTAAAATTCTATCGAGAGAGAGAGAGAGACCGGATTAATCCCTCGTGGGGACAAATCCAAGAAATCTGGGTCGCGCTTAAAAAGAGAAATAATTTTGCGCACATTGTGAGTGTATATTCGAGTTGAAATAAATTCGGGATAATTAATATCAAGTACAAAGTTCCTCTCAAGTTTGTCCGAAGAAGTTGGTAAATTTGCATAAAATACGGATATTTGTATCTCATCCCTTTTATGTATATGCATGTCTCTCTGAAATTCCGCTAATCAGACCTCGAGAAAAGTTACGCGACGAGATGATACTGTTATTATATGGTTGCACATTAAACAATTATTGAGTACACAGTAGGAAAATTTGTGTCTTCTTGTTAAAAATCCTCGTTCAAATTTTTGTGTTCAATATCTAACGCATTCATGTGTTAATTTAATATATTGCTGTTGTGTTAATTGAACTTAAATGTTAAATTATTGAAACAAATTAAAAATTAAATTAAATGAAAAAAGTTTTAAATAACGTTATATTAGCAACAAGATTTATCTGTTAAAATTTACAAAAAAATATTGACTTTTTATTTTACAAGTATATAGGGCTGATAAAATCCAAATTAGTTTGTAAATTAAAACTATGTTAATTTTACACAAAATTTATTTTCAATTAAATTACTTGAAGTTTTGCATTTATTTTGTGTTCAAATATTAACACAATATTTGTGTCTCTATTTAACATGTATGTTAAATTAACACAAAAATTTCTGCGAACCGTTTGGTGAAATGAAAAAAGTTTTAAATAACATTATATTAGCAACAAGATTTATCTGTTAAAATTTACAAAAAAATATTGACTTTTTATTTTACAAGTATATAGGGCTGATAAAATCCAAATTAGTTTGTAAATTAAAACTATGTTAATTTTACACAAAATTTATTTTAAATTAAATTACTTGAAGTTTTGCATTTATTTTGTGTTCAAATATTAACACAATATTTGTGTCTCTATTTAACATGTATGTTAAATTAACACAAAAATTTCTGCGAACCGTTTGGTGAAATGAAAAAAGTTTTAAATAACATTATATTAGCAACAAGATTTATCTGTTAAAATTTACAAAAAAATATTGACTTTTTATTTTACAAGTATATAGGGCTGATAAAATCCAAATTAGTTTGTAAATTAAAACTATGTTAATTTTACACAAAATTTATTTTAAATTAAATTACTTGAAGTTTTGCATTTATTTTGTGTTCAAATATTAACACAATATTTGTGTCTCTATTTAACATGTATGTTAAATTAACACAAAAATTTCTGCGAACCGTTTGGTGAAATGAAAAAAGTTTTAAATAACATTATATTAGCAACAAGATTTATCTGTTAAAATTTACAAAAAAATATTGACTTTTTATTTTACAAGTATATAGGGCTGATAAAATCCAAATTAGTTTGTAAATTAAAACTATGTTAATTTTACACAAAATTTATTTTAAATTAAATTACTTGAAGTTTTGCATTTATTTTGTGTTCAAATATTAACACAATATTTGTGTCTCTATTTAACATGTATGTTAAATTAACACAAAAATTTCTGCGAACCGTTTGGTGAAATGAAAAAAGTTTTAAATAACATTATATTAGCAACAAGATTTATCTGTTAAAATTTACAAAAAAATATTGACTTTTTATTTTACAAGTATATAGGGCTGATAAAATCCAAATTAGTTTGTAAATTAAAACTATGTTAATTTTACACAAAATTTATTTTAAATTAAATTACTTGAAGTTTTGCATTTATTTTGTGTTCAAATATTAACACAATATTTGTGTCTCTATTTAACATGTATGTTAAATTAACACAAAAATTTCCGTTTGGTGATATCTGTTAAGTTGAACACAAATTTCTCAACTGTGTACATTCCTGCGGATCGCAATCTAATGTAACTTTCCGAAGTGCGTATACTGAAAATAATAATTAGGAAGTCCATTGACGAAACATTCATCATTCGCGCGGGATTGCATTCTGTAGTTATAGCATATTTAACATGATATGCATATCACATAAGGTGGCTGCGATATATATTGCGTATTCCTCGCTGGAGCACGAAATTCTCCCTCTGTCGTATAGGTATATATATGTATCGAAAACCGTATGAAATTGTCGTCGCATTACACCGTTGTAACGTCGCGTGACGACGTCACAAACCTAGTAATCAGACTGCGGAACATGCATATATCAGGATTACAGGCGACGTGCGATTCTAGTCTCCCAAAGACCAGAATTTAATTAATTTCTCCTAATTTGGGACCGACGAATACATAGATTTTTGTATTCATGATTAATTAATCATTCAAATTCACGGTTATTTTTTGTCGATAAAATAATTTAATACACGAGAAAATAATTTACAATTTCATTTCTCGCATCTAGAGATCGACTTTAATAAACTATTAATCCTCTTGAGTTCTTAACGTTACTTGGAAAAGTTTTGAAAAGTTTGCAGTTAGTCCTTTCACTCGAGAAGTTTGATTTCGTATTCATTTTATTCATTTTTCTTTTAAGTTTGTGTTAAGTATTGTAATATAGTATTGCTTGACTTGATCAAAATTTATAGAGGACCTATAATGTATGTATATAATAAATCGATAATACATCTAAAATAGTTTGCAAGATTTATACAAAATATATAATTAATAACAATTATCGTTAGTGATTGAATCTTTATGTGCAAAAAAAATTTCAACAAAAAAAACAATATTTAATATGATCTAATTATAATTGAATTATAAAATGCAAAATATATACAATGAAACATATCATAAAAAATTTGAAGTATTGTATATTCAAATTGTAATATTTTTAATCAATATATTACAAATTCACATTGCTAAAAAAATATAACTTAAAAAATTCTCTTTATTTTCTTCCTTTTATCAGCCTTTACGATAAGTGTTTCGGAAACTCTCGGCCCACTTAATTTTCGACAAAGAATCATCTAAAATTTTTCACACTTACTTAGACACACCCTGTATACATTATATTATATATATATAATTTTATCTTATTCATATATTTATTATAATTTATTATAATTGTTATACAGGGTGTGTCTAAATAAGTGCGAAAAATTTTCGCTGATTCATACATGTTCTCACATCTCTCCCTGAGAAATTCCACTTTTCTAAAGAGGGAGATAAAAATGAAAACATCGAAATTGAAATCGCACGTCGCGGAGGGAAAATTCCGGCAAAGTTAGGAGCGAAATATCAGCGCACACGCACACCTCGATGTAAAAACAGTTTACGCCTTAGAGTGCAGCCAGGTTCTCCTCTTCGTTTCTGCCCCTATCCTTTCCGAGGACAGCCCCCGGAAGTTCGCCTAAACCGGATCCGGCGCGGGCGCGAGCAGTTGCATGCTGCTGCTCGATTTCGCGATCTGCAACGTCAGAGATCGCTGGCGCTTAACGTTTAGTGCCTAATCGAACGGCCCATGCATCACAAAAAACACGACAGAGACCACAGCAAGCCACTACTACCAACGAATAAGTCTAACGACATTTAACACGTTTTATTTTTAAATAGAATATTTTTTATTGTTATTGTAATTTATTAATTTTATTTTATATATATATTAATTAATATTATATATTAATATAAATATTTACAATATTATACAGAGTGAATCTAAGCGCAAAAAATTTTAAGCGATTCTTTAGCGAAAATTAAGGGAGGTTTTTTATATAAACATATGTTCTTATATCTCTCCCTGAGAAATTACACTTTTCCAAAGAGGGAGGTGATAATTAAATTTCAGACAAATTAAAAAATGAAACTTAATGGATATTTTCCACTAATAAAAAGGATGTTTATTAATGTTTTTTGATCCTGTAAACCTCCCTTGATTTTCGACAAGAATCATCTGAAATTCTTCACACTTATTAGATACACGCTGTATATATTATATTATATATATATAATTTCATTTTATTCATGTATTTATTATAATTTATGAATTTTCTGTATTTTATAAAATTCATAAAATTGTAATAAATACGTGAATTAATAAATTACAATAAATAAAAAATGAAAATAATGGTAAAGTAATTTTCACAAGACATAAAGCTGAGGAAATTGAAAGCTAGAATTGTCTAGGAAAAAAGCGTGTTACATGGATACAACTCTCTCTCTCTCAGATATATATCGCACGTTGATGCTAGAAATAAATCTCCAGATATCTCGACAAATCGAGAAATATATATAGCATCGGGTAACCGAAAATATAAGGAACAGAAGGGCGCGACAGTTTAATTCAGTCTGACCTGGAAAACGAGGACGCGTCGCAATCAAGCGGATTAAATAATTTGCATGCGAGGATTTCTGACGGCGACAAACGGGAGGAAAGTTAGAAGGTCAGACGCGCGTATTTTCAACTCGAGATATTTAATGTCGTCATTAAAACTCCCGAAGTTTTGCAAATAAAAAAAAAAGCAAGATTGCTTCTTCTCGTAAAGTTAAATCGATATGTTTTGTCACAAAAAAGTGCCACGCTATTTAGATATACAGGGTGTCCGATAACTAACGGACTAAATGATTAAGGACGGATTCTCTGGCCAATTTGGAGACGATTTTTCCTTAGCAAAAATGTTGAGAAGTCAATAATTTTCGAGTTATAAGCGATTGAAAAAAATGAGTTTTTTGAAAACTAAACGTTTTGGAGTTAAAAGTCTAACATAATTACATTCTTCAGTTAATTTCAGGTAGAGTTTACTATAATAAAATTTTAATTTGAGGCTTAGTTATAAAGATAATCATCTAAAATTCTTCACGCTTATTAGATACACGCTGTATATATTATATTATATATATAATTTCATTTTATTCATGTATTTATTATAATTTATGAATTTTCTGTATTTTATAAATTCATAAAATTGTAATAAATACGTGAATTAATAAATTACAATAAATTACAATAAATAAAAAATGAAAATAACATAATGACAAATATTGGAAAGTTGTAAAAAATGATGACCTTTTTCAACATTTTCTCTGAGGAAAAATCGTTCCCAAATTGACCAAAGAATCCATTTGTAATCGTTGGTCCGTTAGTTACCGAACACCCTGTATAAAATAATATTATTAGGCTAATAAAATAATATTATTTGAGAACAATTGCGAGCAAAAAAAAAGAGATTAAAATAGGTGATTAACATAGATAAGAAGCTTGAATGGATCTATCCTAGTCCAATTTTTCACGAGATGATTCAAAACAATTTGAGGAAACACATACAAGACCAGCAAAGACCATCAGCAAGAGAAATAATTTAATCAAAGGATTTTGCGGTTTGGGATAAACGAAGCTTTTTCACCCTGTATAAAATAATATTATTAGGCTAATAAAATAATATTATTTGAGAACAATTGCGAGCAAAAAAAAAAGAGATTAAAATAGGTGATTAACATAGATAAGAAGCTTGAATGGATCTATCCTAGTCCAATTTTTCACGAGATGATTCAAAACAATTTGAGGAAACACATACAAGACCAGCAAAGACCATCAGCAAGAGAAAGAATTTAATCAAAGGATTTTGCGGTTTGGGATAAACGAAGCTTTTTGACGACAAAGAAGAATTCGTACCTGGTGTTCCGGTTGCTTGTGCGATTTCCTGGCGTAAACTTTCAAGACCCTGCAGTTACACGCGACGGAGAGCGCCACTGCTGATCCCTGTACGGTAGAATTGTCGTGTGTAATAGGACAACCGAGCCAGATAAAGCTATATCATCGAGTTACAGACCAAAGAAACACGAGCCATCTTGCTTACGTTACGTCTCGTTAAAAAAGGAAATATTAGAAAAGTTTTCGAGATGCCTCCGTTCAAAAAAAAAAAAAAAATAAAAGCATCTCATGTATTCTCCACGTTACCAACATTGTTATATTAATTATACAACATTTATGTCAACGAGAGATTTATGCTCTGAAAAACCGCAAATGTTCGAAATTTCTGAGCGCCATTGAAAAATAAAAAAATGCCAAGGACGAAGAAAAATACATACAGAATATGTATTTTATATAAAATATAAAATACATTTTTATATAAAAATATTATATATAAAATTAACTCGCGTGTGCCAATAAAATATTAAATATTTAATTTCCATAGTATGATGATTTAAGAAGGAAAACTCGAAAGTTTTGCAAATTTGGAAAAATTATAAGTTTATTATTATCGAAGGGGTAAAAGCAAGTAAAAGAGATGAATAAAAGAAAGGAGAGGAACACATGATTCGACACAGACGATAAAATAAGAAGAGAAGTCCGCCACTTCGAGATTTGTCGATCGCGAAAAGCTCTCGCTATTGAAGAACACTCGATTCGACTCGGTAAACTTGGGAAGAAATATGGAAGTGGACTCTATATATATATATATATATATATAATATGAAGAGAGAGAAAAGCTGCTTACGCTTGATGCAAGATCGAACGCGTCGGCAGCGCAAGTTCCTTGAAACTTGCCGTAAAAGAGCAAGGGAAAGAGATTCCGCGCGTTCTTGCGTTTGCCCTCTTTATGCGCGACACCGACCGAGATCTCGATGTCGGAAATGAAGTCGGTGTAATATCGGGAGCTAAATCCGCGAACCGTATGATAATCGGAATATTTGAAAATTTACGGCAGAAATTTAATTAAATTTCAAACTTAGTTCGGGATATAAATTACGGATGGGACAATGCGAGAAGAATGCGGTCCGAATAATGGTCCAAATAATGGTTCACGCGCGAATTTCAGCCGAATAATGGTCCACATCATGATTCCAACAATGTGATTCAAAGTGAATATATATATATAATAGTGATTTATACACTAAACAAATTATTAAATCAATAAATTTTTATTTCAATACTGCCTAATTAATTATTTATTTAAGACAAATAAATATTTGTCTGCTTTGAAAAGGATTTTCTTATATTAATAAATATTTTTCACATCAAATCAAATATTATGAGTTTCAAATAAATGATTTATTAAGCAGTATTGAAATAAATATTTATTCAAATTCAATAATATTTTTTTCAGCGTATATACTTTTTATTAAAATTTTATTGTAATTTATTAATTCATAAATTTATTGTAATTTACGAATTTTATATAAAATACATTTATATAAAATTCATAAGTTATAACAATATATATATATATATATATTGTTATAATTTATGAATTTTATATAAATGTATTTTATATAAAATTCGTAAATTACAATAAATTTATGAATTAATAAATTACAATAAAATTTTTAAAGGAGTTTTATTGACTTTACGCGGATAACTCGCCGCCTTCAATCTGTCAGAACTCAAAAATTAACTATATATCTATATTTTTTTTATTGAAATTTTATTGCGATTAATTTTAATTTTAATTAATTTAGTTTAATCGTAATTAATTTTATTATATAATTTTATTTTATTTGTAGTTATTATATTTAAACAATTAATTTTTAATAAACTTGATTTTAATAATTTTGATTAAACTAAATTAATTAAAATTAAAATTAATCGCAATAAAATTTCAATAAAAAAAAAAAAATAAATATATAATTAATTTTTTGAGTTCTGACAGATTGAAGGCGGCGAGTTACCCGCGTAAAGTCAATAAAACTCCTCACCTTTCACACCGTCATCAGTCTCTTACGAGCGCGCGCTCGAATAGCTCTATATCCCTGCCATATAATCTCCCGAAATTGCGATGGAAATATCGCGGTCGTAAGATGTGCCGTTAAGGGAAGGAAAACTAAGGGAAGGAATGACGCTCTCGGGCATATCTTTCGAGACTTTTTTGCGTCGAGCACCACCTCCCTTAACTATACGCATTCGAAGCGAAATGGTCCGTGGACGCTTTTTTACAACCCCCGAGATATACCTGAAGCGAATGGCCCGTGCAGAAGACTGCCCACAGGAAGGGGATCTTCCAGACCCTGGACGCGACTCCGCAACCGGCCACCAAACCAACGATCAGACTGACCTTCAGGAAGAGCATCAGCTGCAAACCTCGTCTCCTCTTCATCTTCTCGCGCTGCTTTATCTCGAGCTGCATGCTGCACGTGTACCTGCGCGTATGCGATTTAGACGACGTGTGTGACTTTTTTTGCGCAAATTTTATATGCAAATATATGTGTCTTCGTGAACATTTTTTTTAAGCCTCGTGATTGATATGGAAACTTTTTTTTATATAAGCACCCTTCTTGTATAATCGATCAAAACGCATCCAGCGTTAAATGAGTCGATAAATTGTTATGACTTAGAGAATTTTTTTTAATCGTATCTCTGTGCCGTCGTCCATTCGAGATCGTTAAATTAATGTCGAGAGATAACTATACCTTGACACGATCGCAGCCTTGACGAGGTAGTAACCGGATGTTAGGAGAAGCAGGATGACCGGCAAGCCATACGCGTAAATTGTCGCCGTGGCTCCCAGAAACCTGAAATCAATAAAGCATGTAACGTGCATTAAATATTGTGTCCTCGAATTCAAATTATTAAATAAAAAATTTTTTTTTCAATTTTTTGTTATCATAAATATCGATTTAAACGTCTCCGAAAATTGTATCTTTCCTTTTGCAAAAATCTGTAGATTTTATGTTAAAATTTGTAAAAAAATCGTATTTATTTAAGATCTGTATATTAAAATATAATATATTCAATATGTATATTACATGTATATTACAATGTATATTAATATTAAAATATTATATTAAAATATATGTTGTACAGATTTTACTCCCAGAAACCTGAAATCAATAAAGCATGTAACGTGCATTAAATATTGTGTCCTCGAATTCAAATTATTAAATAAAAATTTTTTTTTCAATTTTTTGTTATCATAAATATCGATTTAAACGTCTCCGAAAATTATCTTTCCTTTTGCAAAAATCTGTAGATTTTATGTTAAAATTTGTAAAAAAATCGTATTTATTTAAGATCTGTATATTAAAATATAATATATTCAAACATGTATATTACAATGTATATTAAAAATATATTAAAATATATGTTGCACAAATTTTTATCACGAATATATTAAGCAAATATCCGCGAGATGAAATAATTGAAAAATATATCACGTAGCCAGAAAATATAGCTCATCGTAATGAAAATACAATTCGACGTAGCAATTCTCGTTTCACGAGAAGAAAGAGATGCTAGAGAAATATTTATTAGCTCCGCCGTTTATATACATATATATATAAGGTCTCGCCTCTGTGAATCGCGATATGAAAGGAGAATAGCTAAAATCCCGTCGCTCCTTTCAACGGAAGCAAATCGAAGAACGAGTGTCTGTGAAACGGCCGATTTTTATCGGGGAACACTCGAGTGATATCGAATACTTATTTTCGGTGTTCGCCGATTTTAATACACGAGAAATATTCCCCGCCGCATTTATTTTCCTCGATTGCATCTCGCGTATACAGGGTGTCCGGTAACTAACGGACCAACGATTACAAATGGATTCTTTGGTCAATTTGGGAACGATTTTTCCTCAGCGAAAATGTCGAAAAAGGTCATCATTTTTTACAACTTTCCAATATTTGTCATTATGTTATTTTCATTTTTTATTGATTATAATTTATTGTAATTTATTAATTCACGTATTTATTACAATTTTATGAATGTTATAAAATACAGAAAATTTATAAATTATAATAAATACATGAATAAAATGAAATTATATATATAATATAATATATACAGCGTGTATCTAATAAGCGTGAAGAATTTTAGATGATTATCTTTATAACTAAGCCTCAAATTAAAATTTTATTATAGTAAACTCTACCTGAAATTAACTGAAGAATGTAATTATGTTAGACTTTTAACTCCAAAACGTTTAGTTTTCAAAAAACCCATTTTTTTCAATCGCTTATAACTCGAAAATTATTGACTTCTCAACATTTTTGCTAAGGAAAAATCGTCTCCAAATTGGCCAGAGAATCCGCCCTTAATCATTGGTCCGTTAGTTACCGGACACCCTGTATATATTCGGAAGCAGAGGCGAAGGTGTAAGCTCGACGAACGAAAATCCTCTCGGGAACTTCTCGCAGGATCGTAATCATCGCGCGGAACACACAGTCTTCGGTAAGAATGCATTCTGAGGTGAAAATTCGAGAGCAGATTTTCCAACAACTTGAAATAAATTCGAAATTGTCTAGCATAAAGTTGCATTGAGATATTTCATATATTTTAATTTTATATTCATTTCTTTTTACGCTTTAAAATTCTATTCTCTCTCGCGCATTTGACAAGTGAGTATTGGAATTATGAAATTAATATATTAGTATCTCTCAGAGAAAAAATTCAGATTAAAATCCTTAATATCTAACGTCAACAATTTTAGATTATGATGTCAAAACAGAGGGGAAAAATGCGTGAATAATTCTTGGAAGTTTAACGTCTACGCAAATAAATTTTCTTGGAAGAAAATTGCTGTCATGATAATTCAAATATGCATAGTGTAATAAATATTCTGTGGTTTGTGATATACAATTAATATTTCGAGAAGATTTTATAATTAACCTTTAAAGAAATTTAATCTGAAATTTGACCTCTCTTTCTTTTTCCTCCTGAAATGTTTAATATTAAATGAATATTAAATGTTCAATTAAATGTTCGATATTACTATTTTATGTAACTGAGATTCTCTGTTAAAAAAATCTCTATTTTAAATGACTTTTTAAAATTCTATATTTATAAAAGAAAATTGATTTGTAAAAAGAAATAAAGTTTTCCCAATATATTTTGAATAAAGGAACGCTTTTTCGAAATAAATGTCAAAGAAGCATATGTTTGTAATATTAATTTATAATATTAATTTATAATACTAATATATTAATAATATTATTATTATTAATAGATTAATAATATTTTTTATTTATAATATTAATATATTAATATCGCGTAAGGCAAATAATAAACCATCTCGTCGCAAAGCTGAACAAAAAAAAATATTGCGGGATACCTGCGCACAATGTAACGCGATATACATGCTCTTATAAAATACCTCGCTTTGAAAAATGGCAAGAATCTCGTTCCGGTTCGGTATTCCGGGGTTCGCCGTCGTCGACGAATCTGATTTAACGAAAATTGGTCGTTCGGTGGTATCTCGTGGGACGAGAGAGATGAAAAGACGAAAGAAAAAGAGGTGGACCGAGAAGAATCGGAAAGAAATAAATAAATGATCTGCGTTGTATACACACGGCATTCCTGCAAGAGAAGGTCTTCCGGCGAAGCCGAGAGAGAACGCGTCCCTTCCGCATCTTTTCCATCCGATATCCTGTCCGACTAGAGAATCCGAGCGAAGGACTTCTTCCTTTCGATCGGAGATTCGAAGGAGACACAAATAAAAATTTAAATAATATAAAGATAAAACGGAGTGAGCTCAGTAAATTTTCGAATTTATATATTTTCCTGCGTGTACTTAAAATTAATTTTTTTTTTTTTTTTGCGGAGAGACATTTGCTATATCGGTTTAAATCAGGAATATTTGCAAGAAAAAATTTTTTATATATAACAATTTAAAATTATATAGAAATATATAAAATTATACATATACTCGCAAAATTATATATGCAATATGTCCATACATAATTAGATAAAAGTGCTTTGTATATATAATTATATAAATTTATATATATATATATATATATATATATATATGTATAATAAATATTTCTTCATGTATGTTTCATATATAATTTGACATGATTATACATGATTATAATTTATAAAATTGTGTATAAAAATAGACATATTTCACATATAATTCTACGATTATAATTACACATATGTATTTATATATAATTATAAAACAATTTGTACCTGGAATTGAATGAGAACTTTAAGATAGAAATTTTGAGACCTCGCGTCGTTTGAGAAAAACAATCAACCCCCTGAACCCTCGGGTAAACAAAGCGAGTGCAATATTAGGAACAGATAGTTATATCACTCCGTTAACTCGCACCGTTTCTCGCAGAGAGACACAAATGCTGGTAATTTTCTCCGTGCGCTAAGTTTCACTCTCGGAAATAAGGGAGGTTTTCTCTCGACCGAGGAGAAAGATGGAATGGATCGACTTAAATTTGACGCAGTTGCTCTGTGAATCGAGTTGATGTCACCTCAAAATATTGAACAACATAATTTCGTTCATTTTATCAATTTCACAGTAAAAAGAGATACAAATTAAAATTAAAATAATATTGTATTGTTTAAATAGAATTTTTTTTTGCGAAGAGACATTTGCTATGTCGACTTAAATCAGGCGATTTTTCATGAAAATTGAATCGAAACTTTAAAGATAGAAATTTTGAAACTTCGCTTGTGATATATGCAAGATGCAAGCGTGGAAATAAAATGTAGGAATAATATAAAGGTTTCTTGCTTCGGTAGCAGAAAAGGGGCAAATGAGCTGTGTCGAGAAGAAGTTTGAAGCGGACAAATGCAGACGCGGAAACGAGAGGCGAAAAATGGAGAGATAACGAGGAAGTTGAAGCCGATAGCTCGAGCCAAAAAAAAGTTTTACACAAAATACTTAACATTCAACGTTGAAAATTAATGATCTCGATGAATCACGCAAAAAATTATTTCGAGAAAGATTATTACTAAGTAGTTATTGTATATGTAAGAATTATAAAAATAATTATTTAATTATATTATAATCATGAATAAAAACGGTTTTTTTTATATATTTAATCGTTAATTTTTTATTGTTCACGTAATTGATTGAAAATTCTCGGAAACGTCAATTAACATCTATTGATGGCAATCACGAATAATCAAAATAAATATATTTAAAAAATAGTAATTTATTATCAAAAAATAATTAATAAATAATTAAAAAATATAACTTAGAGAATAATCGACTTTCATACTCAGCGAAACTTAAAAATTAATTAATAATAAAAATAATTTAAAAATATAATTTAGAAAATGATCGACTTATATTCAGCAAAATAGATATTTTATTTTTCAAATGCAGAAAAAGGGAGAATGAAGATACAGAGATCAAATGGAAAAAAATTTTTTTAAATTAGGAATTTGAAAGCTAGAGAGTGAAAAATAGAAAAGAATGAAGAGACTTCTGAAAAAGACGCTGTTGTGGAGCTATAAAGCTACACGGAGAGAATTTTCTCTTAGAATTTACCCTGAAAATCATGGTAATCATAGGATGTGATGTTGAAAGAATTTTATAAGAGTTTCTCTGATTAATATTTACCACAATAAAAAATATTAACATGTACATAGTAAATTTTATGTACATAGTAAAATTAACCGAGTATATTTTATATCTTATTGTGGAAGATATTAATATTTTTATTGTAATAAATATTAATCAAAAAAACTTTTATAAAATTCTTTCAGTATACCATATTGTCCCACGCGATTACCATTTTTAGGGTGAATTCTGAGAGAACATTTTTTCTGAATAAAGATAACGATGATTGGTGGCAATCACGGAGTCTTACCAGCAATTGAAAGGAGTGAGGTCAACGACGTTCCAGAAATCGCGGCCCTCGCGGTTCTGCAGCAGCGTCGCCAACGCGAGGCTGATCAGCGGCGCGCCCCAGGCGAAGAGACTGTACTTTAGATAAGTCGGCGGGTCGTCGCGACGCGGCAGCGACGCCACGGTTGCGTAAAGATGGTGGCACATCGCCGCCAGCCAGCAGACCACCGACACCCGCAGGTACTGCAAGCTCATTCCGAGCGAGATGCAGAGCTCCGAGTCCTGCAATTTGAAAAACAAACGGCGTTCAAAAATCTATTCCACAATTTTGAAAATTAAAATCTCCGGGTCATATTCCGGAAAAATTCTATTATAATTACAATCATAATTTGTGGTGATGTTCACAACGAGGAAAGAAAAATTTTTTAAACATATAATTAAATTTAAAAAATTAATAATTAATAATTAAAAAATATATAATTTATAGAAAATTCAAAACTGAAGAAAAAAATTACAGAGAAGATGGAAAATTCCTTCGACGAATTTTTTGATCCGGAGGAAAAATTGAGGGAATGTAATAAATAAAATTTACGCTAGCAATATCGCGCGTTGCAAAAAATACCGAGAATTTTTGAAACACATTTATTATTATTCTTAATAAAAAAAATATAAGAGAAACGCGACGCGGTAGTGTCGAGCAGCGAACGGGACAAGATATTCCTCGTTCAATTTATGGATTACGATGGACTATGAATTTCGTGCTCGGAACCGTTGGACGGTATTTTCCAACGGGAATAAACGTCACCGTCAATTTGATCCATGATAAACGGCGAAATATGAGTAATTCGCGATAGTAGCCTAAACCTGCGGATCCGCGAATGGTAGATGGGATATATAACCGGCAAATTATTCCACGTGGAAAATTCCACAATTCCCGACCGATATACATCTACTCGTGTAATATCACGAAATAATCAATCAATCATTCACTATAGCGAGCGTGTTGTTGATTCACCAATTTATGAAATAATTCGCGTATATTCATTAAATAGCACGGGATTAATATTACTATGTTGTAATGACGTATGAAAGCCCTTAATTCCCTCCGTTGTACCTTCGCGGCCGAAATAATTTGCCGCAACAGCTGTGTGTACCGTGAAATTCAGAACAATAAATTTCCATCGATAAACGCGTAATCAATTTAACAGCCTTGTAATGCGAAATAAAGCCGGCAATGGTGTTATTGGAATCGAACATTCGATAACAATTACTATCATTAACTGGGATCAAAACACAGTTCTTATTTGTATACACAATGAAATCAATTTAATTGATTAGGGTATTTCAAAAATATAACATTTTTTGACAGCAATTATTAAGTATTAAAATAAGATAAAAATTTTATTTTAAAAAAATATATATATAAAAGTTAAAAATTTTTTTCCTAGTAGAATCTATATAAAGTAATCTAGAAAAAGGATCATGCACGTGACAGATTATTATATAGTTTTCACTTTGTGCACACACAAAGGAATCGATTTCATTTTAATTAAAGTATTAAAAATATATATATATAACTCTTACTAATTATTAAATATTAAAATGAGATAAAAATTTGAAATGTCAAAATGTGATCTTGATTTTTATTTGTTCTCCGACTTAAAAATTTTTTTTCTTTTTTTGTGCGAGCTATATAAAATAGAAAAAGGATATACATGACAGATTATTACATAATTTTCACTTTGTCAACACACAAAAGAATCGACTTGATTTTAATTTTAAAAATATATATATATATATATATATATATGACTCTTATTAATTATTAAATAAGTATTTGAAATGTCAAAATGTAATTTCAATTTTTATTTGTCAAAAAATATTTTTTTTTCTTTTGTGAATTATATAAGATATTTCAGAAAAAGGATCATGTACGTGACAGATTATTATATAGTTTCCACTTTGTGAACACACGCAAAGGAATCGACTTGATTTTAATTAAAGAATTTAAAAAAAATATACTCTTATTAATTATTAAATATTAAAATAAAATAAATATTTGAAATGTCAAGATGTGATCTTGATTTGTCAAAAACTTTTTTCCTTTTGTGAGCTATATAAAAAATATTTCAGAAAAAAAGTATCGTAACAGATTGCTACATGATACCCCCACATTTCTCTTACAACTTAAATGAATTGACAAGTCTTTTTCAGTGTGTAAATGTGTATACATTCAATGTATGCCTTTGACAAATCAACTACGTGAGCGATTTGCTACAACGTGACGCTAAAAGAGAGAGAGAGAGAAACCGGGACTTTCTGTTTCTCGTAACCGATACACTCTCTCGCGAATGCAACAATCGTACGTGGGTTGACAGGAACAAGAGAGAGAAGAAAAGAGAGAGCGTTCGTGTTCGCGCATCGAAACGGAAGCGGAAATAAATTGGAGTAGTGCGCGCGAAAGGTGCCTTTCCGGAATTCTGGCGGCTCGCGCCGGGATACAAAGGACCTGGTCTGCGAAATTGCGTTCGAAACGTCGGAGAACAAATTTTACATGGACACACACGCGTCTTTTTCAAACGCACAAATCCCTTTACGTGCATGCAATTCTCGCGCGCCATTAAACCATCCATTTCCCGTCCACTTTCCCGCCTCGTTCCGACAGAGCAAAATTGACGACTCAATTTAATCGTAATACAATACAATATACCGGTAAGTGCGTGAAGCGAAACGAGAATCTTAATTAAAGTCACGGTCGAATCGCGTCAATTCGAGACGAATCGTTTTATACATTGAAACGACTCCTCTTTCGCCTACAGTTTTCGAGTCAGCTTTTCGCTTTGTGATTTGATATTATATTATTATTATATTATATTATATTTTAATTATATTATATATTATATTATATTATTATTATAATTATATATACATATTCAGGGTGTCCAGCAGACTCAACGAAAAAAATTCCTTGACTTTTTCAGATTTTCCAAGACCAGAAATTAATTTTTTCCCTGACTTTTTAGTATTATTTTTTACAAATATATAATTTGCATATATCTATATGAGAAATCATTTAAATGTTCAATCATGAAATCCTTGAGATATTTTTGTTAACAATGAAAAGTTTCGGAAGTTAAAAAAAACAAAAACTTAGATCAATTATACAACCTGCATTATGTACGCTAATCGAAACAAACATGTCACTATAAACTATTTAAATAATCACCTTTTTTATTTAAATTATATCAAATTTTTTAGTTTCGTCTCTATCAATAACACTGAAATAAAATAACACGACAATAAAAATAATATAAGTAAAGAAATATAAATATAAATAAATTAATAAATACGCTGTAGATGAATCGATTTTTAACAACACAGAAAATTAGCTGGGAATAAAGGAAAAATTTATATTTAATGAAAAATTTCAAATTATTGAGACAAATATCCAAATAAATAGCAAAATTTCCTGACAATTCCAGATTTATAAAATTCCCTGACAATGCCCGGATTTCCAGATTTTACTAATCGCTAGATACACCCTGATTTTATATGTCGAAACGATTCCTCTTTTGCCTGCAGTTTTCGGGCCAGTTTTCCGATTCATAATTCGATATTATATATTATATTATTATTATTATTATTATTATTATTATTATTATTATTATTTTATTCCGAAGAGTCCACCTTCTCTTGATGAAAAATGTCTTCTCTCTGTGTATATTCGGAATATTTGGTTTCAAAATTTACTTTCTTCCCATATTCAGCATTAGAAAACCGCGGACAATATCGTGTTACGGAATTAGTATTTTCGATGCGCTGCACGAATATTGCATATACATATATATATGTATAAAGTATACATACCGCGGCGAAGTAATATAACTCAGTTTATCTTCGCTTTCGGTCTCGATATACGAGAATTCTCTTCCGGAATTTCGTTATACAACATGAAAATACGGGCGTTTGCGGACGCCCGCGAAACTAAGCTCGACGTAAAGTTCCGAGTTATCCCTCCGTGTTGCGAAGCAACATTCTTATTCGATCGAATTTTCGCCACGGAATTCAATTTCACAATTCAAGCCCCTTCAATTCCTTCCTCTTCCCCGAAAGATACAAACTGTCGTCGCGCTTTGTATACGCATGCAATTGCGAATATATATTGTTATCGTTTAATTTGATTCGAGTCGATATAATACTGTCAAGTCGAGGTATATTCTGCAATTATTTTTGCTACACAATGTGCGTGAGCGTGGCCGAAATGAATTCTCGCGCGTAATGAAACAACATTCGCATCGCGTCGAGAATTGTGTTACTGCGTCATTGTGCGTGAAATGTCGACGACGACGTGGTAGTTTTGCACAGGCGGGTTGCAGCTGCGAGATTCTCGGATAACGTCGCTAGAAATAATTTTCGAAATGTCTCTCTCGATCGGCGCGATTCTCCGCCGCGAAGTGGAAAAACCAGTTTTTGGTCAGACGGACAAAAAAAAAAAATATATCCGATCCATTCGTTAGATTAGGAGTCTGCGGAAGGGAAACTAATGTTCTTCTGCAAATATCGCGATTTTTTCGATTGCCGCGATTAATAATAGTTGCTACGAAGTGAAAAAACCTGTTTTTAGTCAGACAAGAAAAGAAAAAATTGTATCCAATCTTTTCGCTAAATTATAAGTTTATGGGGCAAAATAGGTTTCTCTCGATCGGCGCGAAGTGGAAAAACCCGTTTTTGGTCAGACGGACAGAAAAGAAATGTATCCGATCCATTCGTTAGATTAGGAGTCTGCGGAAGGGAAAATAATGTTCTTCTGCAAATATCGCGATTTTTTGATTGCCGCGATTAATAATAGTCGCTACGAAAAAAGTCAGACACCAATCTTTTCACTAGTTTAATGATTTTATAAATAAATGTAGTTTCTCTCGATCGGCGCGAAGTGGAAAAAAGACGGACAAATGTATCCCGTTAGATTAGGAGTCTTAATGTTCTTCTGCAAATATCGCGATTTTTTGATTGTCGCGATTAATAATAGTCGCTACGAAGTGAAAAAACCTGTTTTTAGTCAGACAAGAAAAGAAAAAATATTGTATCCAATCTTTTCACTAAGTTATAAGTTTGTGGGGAAAATAATGTTTTTAAAATAAATGTAGTTTCTCTCGATCGGCGCGAAGTGGAAAAACCCGTTTTTGGTCAGACGGACAAAAGAAAAAAAATGTATCCGATCCATTCGTTAGATTAGGAGTCTGCGGAAGGGAAAATAATGTTCTTCTGCAAATATCGCGATT